GCACGGTCGGGAAGCGAGAGATATAAATCGAAAATCCAGCTGATGTATTTTTCTCTTGAGAAAAAGAAATCGAAATGCGAAAATTGAGAGAAGTATATCGTCTCGATTCACCGATTTCTCTGAGTGTGGAGGCATTCTCTCCCCAGACCTAGTCGAGGTGGTTCGTGGAACTCCAGATAGGCTTAACGTTAAACGTCGTCTCTGAAATGGTTTGTGAAAGTTGGAATGTGCTTGCAATCCACCGAACTACACGTCCTCACGAAGATGTCTTGACAACCCAGGGATTGACCCTCATGAGCCTAATTTTCTCAAGTCGAGCGTTGAGATTCTTTTGAACGGAAAAATATTGGCTTAGGCATGACCTGAAGACAGTCCATGGGTTAGGCCAGGGGTTCTCAAATTGAGGGGCGCGAGCCCGACAGGTCATGTGAGTTTTTTTTATCCACTACAATTAGCAATTTCAAATATGGAATATTTTTTATTCATCTGTCAATGTATCTATTTAATGATCACATTCCTTCAGGTCTTTCTGGTCTTTCTTCTGAAGTGGAAGACTAAATGAAAGCAATTCCAGGCAGACTTTTAAATTCGATTCCCTCTTTTCAAGGGGTGTACATTCCCGTCGGCTATTTCCTACGATTCGAATGAAGATGACAAATGGATCGTGCGTGAATGCTCGATGAATATTGCGTTCGTGCTCTCGTTCTATCTAAATAATTACTTTAAGAAACACCAAGACGCAGAAGAGCTGGGATCCTCTGGCAGAGCAAAATTTCTGAAGACGTTTCTGTCACGTCTTTGAAAATGAGATTTGTGCCTTTATTGTTCCTGTCCAGTCCAGATTCGATCATTTGTGGGCCCTGAGGCATGCGAGCGTCGTTCTCATTCAATTACGCGAATGACGATTCGTTTCCTAACTGTGACCCGGTCCATGAAACGTTGCAATCCGTTTGCATTTTTTCAATCATTGCACTTACCCCTCATCCGTGGGGTAAGTTTAATTTCTAGGTACTCCTCTCAGCGAGAAAGGGGACGCGACACCGAGCGAGGGTCATTAGGGGGGGGGGGGGGGTTGGTGCAGCGTAAAAAGTTTGAGAACCGCTGAGTTAGGCCTTGGCTTAACGTTAGGATGTCTCGAAGAGAAACTCTTTCTTCCCACTTCTTCAACCCCTTAGGGTAGGAGAAATGGGTAAAGCCTTTGAAAAATGGTTTTCACACTGTTTCGTTTGAAAGTACATATGACTTAGCCATGCCTCCATGAAAAAAAGGCTCGGAATGGGTTGAGTGTTCGAACTCTCTTCAAGTAAAACAGCAATTCCGATTCTTGATTTGTTCTGTGGGACACTCCTTGAGTTAGGTGGACTTCTTGATTATCATCGGAAGCAGTTCCTCTGCAGGCAATTGGTTTTATTTTATTTTCTTCCTGCTTCTGGTCATTCGGAGTTGAAAGAATGACTGGGACACAAAATGTTCACCAATTTCGAAAAAGTATTAACTAATTCCCGACAATGAGATTGATTATGATGAAAAAATAATGAATCAGAGAAGAGTTAGACATACATGGTCGGATTAAGAAGTTGCGGGGAGCCAGTGCACTTGCGGGGCAATAGGATTCTTGGGGCTCACCCCCTACCCCTGACATTCCCCGCGGAAAACTGGGGCCCGGGGACAGCGACCCCCTTTGCCCTCCCTCTCATTCGAGCGCTCAAGAAGACAAACATCCTCCAAGATGAAAGCGATGGAAGGAAACGGTAATTGCGAGACTCTTCCCTCCATCCCAGATGAGTCTGATGAGGGATGCCGAGCCCCACGCACACTCGATTCGTGGAAAAGCCCTCGATCGAGGATGATGCTGAATGAAGCTCATTTGCGCGCATGAAGGAATTTTCTCTGTCGATATCTTCTTTACTCTTTCTCGGAAGAATACCCCGAGTCGTTTCCCCCTCGATTTCTCTCCCCTTTCGCCAACACTCGGCGGCGCAAAGTTCTTGCTAATTTCAAGTTGAATTTCTCTCCCCCTCCGCTCGACCTGTCATTCCCACTAAATTACACACCATTCGTCGCATCAATCGAGATCGAAACTTGGGATGAGACAAGGGATCTTCCAGTCATAGAAAACAGAAAGTTTTCTTGCTGTGCTGATGCAAATCCGCTTAATTAAGTTTGAGAGTTAAGTCCAGAAAATATCCGGAGGCTAAATACCACAATTTTCTTGATCGCAGGGGCCACATCGCGGGATCGCGTGCGACCCTCGTGCCAAGATCGTGCCAGAGGCAGACTGCTAACCCCATCACGAATATCTCCGGTACGTCTCAGCTCTCTCGTTAGGAGTAAGAGTAATTAAGAGGAAGGGTAATTTTGCATTAAATTTGGTTTTGCAATCGTAGAAATGCAGATACATCAACTAATATGAAAAAGCATCATCAAAATCATTTTCTGCCAGCAAATTTGCTGGAACGTGCCTAACTTCTTTTTTGAAGAGAACGATCGCCATTTTTTTCTTCGTGTCCTGCCAGAGTCGTAAATAAATAGAAGAGTTCTAATGCTTTTCCCAAAAATCATCAATATATCAATATAAACCCGAAGTTAAATTTAAAAAAAAACACAAAAATTTCGCGATCTGGATGAATTTTGGTGCACAAGCTCGCACCATTGTACCGTAAACTCAATTACTTTCAAGGTCGTGCAATAAATATTGAAAGAGAAAACTTGTCTAGCACTCTAGTTGAATTAGCATCGAGATCGTACTAATCGCCGAAACGGATCGCGCATCGAGAGTTTATTAACGAAACGCGGAAAGAGAGCTCCTAAAGGCGTGCAGAAAAAATCTCAGCGCCATAAGACGAGACGCCGCAGAAAAATAAACGCAGCGGCGCCAAGTCCCTTCGTCATCGGACAATCGGCGAGAAACTGCGAACGGTAGCAGTAAACGCAAGCGGAAACGTGTTGATCCATCGGACTGATGCATGCGAGGCATCTCTTTCAACCTACGTCGATAAAACGCTCGAACGAGTTGGTGAAATTGCCTTCCGAGACTTTTCTTCGGCATGGCTTCACAGCTCGCCACTCAACAATGGCCCTATATATAGGGCCCCATATATAGGGGACATTGGAAAAAAAAAACAGGCGTTATCAGTGGCGCCACCTTTTCCCTCCCTTTCTCCAGCGTTTCGGCAAGTTTTTTCTGCATCGCCTCATCCCATGACTCTGTGAAACTTTCCTTGCTTTTTCTACGCAACTTCGAGAGTTCCCTTCCCGCAATTCTTAAAAAAAAAAAATCGTCTCGGATAATCGCTTCGAGAGAGTAAAACGCTCCATATTTTCGATCAAAGTTTCTCCGGCGAATATTAATCAAACTTCCCCGAAATTCTAATCGAAAAACATGCTGCAAGGTCCAAACTTCATCGTGATTCCTCGGTCCTATTTATTTTTTAGTGATGATTTTTTAAATATATTTTCCCAGTCGAAATTTACTGATTCGAGGGTGTCCGAGTTTAAAAAGTGCTTTGTCAAAAAGGATTCGCCTGATCATTGCGCAGATGATGCGGCAATCGTGCGCAATGCAAACCGAAATCAAGTAGCGACGCAATCTGAGGATTCGGGTGGCCTTTATGGGTGGTCCTTTGATCCTTTGAGGTGACACTTGGTAGACCACGGCATATCCGCGCTCAATTCTCACCACAAATCCAGAGAACCTCATTCATTGATCCAATATCATTTAAAGAAATATACTTGTCGTGTGATGGGGCTTCAAAATGGGACTTATAACGTTAACTTTAGGCCGAAACAAGAGAAAGATAATTTAGCTCGAGCGGTTAATCGGAGGCAAAAGGAAAAGGTCTGGCCTCGCACCACAGACAGGACAAGCCGTCTAGGTGACGACTGATGACAAATAATAAAGCGGTGTTCAAACAAGGACAACAGATATTTACTTAAAGTTAAATTACGAAAGAAAAGAAATGTCACAGATGGTAATGGAGTGAGCAGGCACAGCGTTGGACGAGAGAGGACTCTCGAGACGGAGCCGCCAGACGGACGACCCACGACAGACAGCCAGAAGACGCAAGACGGCATGGCCGGAAGGGGGGGGTCACACCCCCCAAAAAATACAATGGAGGGCCACGCGGGCCCAACCCTGACATGGGCAGAACCCATGCAGGGCCACGAACAAAATAATGTCCCGCGGGAGCCACAAGGCTCTATTAAGGTTGTATTCGAATTTTACTTATTATTTGTATTCATACGGCATACTTATAGCCGGGAAAGAAGAACTCTCGAGAAAAGTAGCTGAATTTGTCATGAAAAAAACAGAGGATCATGAAATCGACAAAAATGGCAACGGCGTAATGTTGCTTTTACAAAGATAAAATCGGCAAATACTCTTATATAAGTAGACTTGGGAGGGAGAGGGGGGGAGAGATCGGTTCTTTTCGTCGTTCAGGATAAACATCTCAAAATTCGTTGAGGAAATCTGGAATTAGAAGTCCTAATGATGCGTAGAAAGTTGAAGCGAAGTTTCGAGGTCGTTAAACAAGACAATAGAAGGAAAAACCAGCGGAACTCCGTCGGCATGGAGGAAGAACGTGGTTTCAATACCGATTTCGCTCGAGTCGATTGTTCAACTGTGAAATGATTTGTCGATTGTTCAACTGGGAAGAGATGGCGCTTGCGAAGGCGATTCAGCCTCCTCGATCGACCGGATCGCACCTGAAATACGTTCGACTTTCGGGAAAGAATTGCTTCAATATTCACTTTTATTGCGAAAGTTTGTCTCTCCTCGGTCATCTTTCGATACAAATGAAAACTCTTCGGGCATCGACGACGGGAAAACTTCTCGAGTTCAAATCTCTTCCACGCGATTCGACTCAGAGCAAGCCAAGACACACCGCAATAATAATTAAAAAAAATCACTCAAAATTTCCCTCAAAAATTCACTCAAAAAAAACTCGCGGAAAATTTCACTCAACGGCAGTCTTGAGCAAAGTCTGAAGGCGGAACTCAATCGTCGTCGGGATCCCCCCTCCCCGCCAGCGCCTTCCTCTTGGTGACCCTCTTGCGATACCAGACGAACCAGGCGACCCCGCCGATGAGCAGGACAGCCAGGATCGTCCCCAACACGATGCCCAGGATCATCCCCGTCGCGTTCCGGCTTTCTCCTGTATTTCATCGATCGCCAATCAATCAATCATCTATCACTAATTCACTCCACGGGCAAGAGACACTCGTGCTCACGATCGCCAAAGCTTAAAATTAAGACAGATGTAAGGGTTGCTCTGCTCGCGCATCGACCTCTTTCCCTTCGGGTGAGGTCATTCTGATAGAGGCCATGCCATCGGCCCTCGTTCCCTCGAAACCGACAGCCGTGACTTACAAAAGAAGAGGATCGTGGAGAATGGAACCATCACTTTCCCAGGAGATTGCTCTCTTCGCATGTGGCCATCTTTTCTCAAGCCAATCTTAGAAGCAAGATTTCCTCTCGCTTCCCAACTAAACTACCAAATAGGGAACGATTATAGTTTGATTCGCGGCAGATGCAAGCTCTTTTGCAAAATTGTGCAATCGGAACAGCTCGTTCGGCGGAGGATGAAGGCCTTCTCATCGCGAAAAAGCTTCATTTCACTCCTTCATCCTAGGTGGCTAATAGAGAAAGTGGAAGTGAAAGCCCGCGTTAAAAAAGTATTTTGGGGAAAAGAATCTCTGAAAAGCTTGAAGTTGCGAGGCACTGGCACATTCAGCAGCTGGAGTTGATTCTCCGAAGTTTCGGACGAGAAAGACTGCATTACTTCCAGACAGCAAACTTGAGATTTCAGGGGAACTTCTCGAAACTCGACGTTAGAAGGAAAAGGCTTCTTTTCGGCACGCATTTCCATGATTTTCCCTTTTCCAGAGCGACCGAGATTCAATTCAATCCAAGCCAAACATTTCCAATCTCTCACCGAACTCCCCAGCGATGTTGAACTCCTTTTGCACGGTGTTCCCGCGGAGATCGGCGCAGGAAAAAGTGCCGATCGAGTTGCAACAAGAATCCCGAAAGTCTCTATCCTCCTCACGGGAGCCGGGGTAGGAGCCTTCGAAGAGCGCCTCCTCCCTCCCGCCCGACACCACGCGGATCCGGATCAGATCTGCAATCACCGCATCGGTTGTTGCACCTGGACCTGTACCTTCGACCTGGACCTGGACCTGGGCGGCTTACCTCCGTCGGAGTCCTTCGCCCTGACCTTGGAAGTCCAATTCCTCTGTTCGCAATTGCCCTCCCCGAGGAAGTTCTCGCAGTCCAGAAAATGCATTTCCACGTCGCACGTCGGCGGTTCCCCGAGGCCCTCCATCTGCCGGGCGAACAAGCACGACTCATTTTGACCGAGGGAGGGGTCGTATTCCAGGTCACGACCGACTCGAGTACGAAGCAAACGAAGTCAAAAAAGCCAATGTTTTGTTTTGAGATGAACAGACGCATCGAGTGAAAACTCGAAGGAAGGAAACTTGGAGAAACTTAAGAAAATAACTTAGAGAAGCTTCAGAAAGAAACTCAAGCTTCCCCGGCTCGCTTCCGACAAATCATCAACGCTCTAAAAACCGACACTCACACCCTCAGGGAACGTGACGACGACGGGAAGCACAGCCATGGTGACCGTTTCCAGGGGGTACTGATCGCCTCCGGCCTGTGGCGGCGGGGATATCACGGTGGCGATCACGAGCGATTGCGTCCCGACATCCCATTTCGGATCTGCAGTCAATGTCAATTCGATCTCCCTTTCTTCTTCCGGCTCCAAATTGATGTCGTTCCTGCGAGCGTTATCAGACGGATGTTTCCACAATAATTGGCTAAATAAAATAATGTTCAAATGCAAACGTTGCTTAACGAAATTAATTTTAAAATAGGAAATGAAGAATGTGAAATATCTGAATGAGCTCTCCGGTTCGGAACATTCCGCCATGATGCGGAATATTTGAATTAACGGCAGGTCAATTCCGAGCCTCAAAAGCCAAAAATAATCAGAATCTGAAAAACACTGCATTATTTAGCAAGAATCCTCGTGCCATTCGGTCCTTACCCAGACGGTCCATCGGTGGCGGAATTGGGGTAATATCGTACATTAAAGTCGTACTTCACCGCTTCCGCGCCGAAATTGACGACTCGAAATTTGAAAGTGCCACTCCCGCCGTGAGGAATGGAAGAGGAATTTTCCCCCCGGATGGGGAAGATGCCCACGGACGACGCCGCCGGATACAATCCCGGAAGGGTTCTCCACACGGAAAGAGGAAGCTCCCTCCCTGCGAACACCCGCGATCGATGAGAACGGTGAGAATCTGACTTTCTGACTTTCTATCTGACTTCTATCCATGTTTCGGTCGTCCTACCTCCTCGCGGTTTTTTCTTGAGCTGGAATTTGACCTCCACGAAGAACGCCTGCTGATTGGTTACTTCCAGGCGGTTCACGTAGAACGTCTGCTCCGAGGCATCGACAGGCAACATATCCAAATTACTCCAATCCTCCTTGTGCAAAGTTGCATAAGTCGCTTGGTCGTCGATCGTGTAGTTCCACGGGAAGCTCCCCATTCCCCACACTTGGAGATTTTTCGTGTCTGAAAGTCAGGGGAGATCCAGACAGGTTTCAGATATCTTACGCTTCCATAAGGAATCAAAAGTTCTCACTCGATCATCGCTTACGGAGGCAAATCTGACACGTTTTCCAGAATCAAGTAAGAGAAGAATGCGACAACAACATAATTCAAACTTAGAAATTGATTGACCCAAACGAAATCCCAGCTTGCGTTGAGAAATCCTGAGTGACAGTGTCTTTTGCCATGGAAATCATGCCATCACCATGGAAACAATACCAAGCCCCGAGGACGACCAAAACGACTAAACAAGAAAGTAATCGCATTCCCAACCCGCAAAGAGTCCACCATCCCCCATCCCTCACCATCTTACCGCTCGTGACGGCGACGGGCTGAAGAAGCGCCTGCGGTCCCTGGATGCCATATTTCGTCTCCCCGTTGAACGAGAACTGGACGGCGACGTCCAGCGGCGTGGCTGCCAGCACGTGCAGCGTCAAGATATTCTTATTTTCCATCCTCCTGAAATAGATTTCCCAAGTCCCATGGTCGACCCCTCCCCTGACGGTCGCTTTTATGTGCATCCACCTCTCGCTTTTTGCGATCAGCTCCACGCCATCCGGAACATTGTTCCCTTCCAAATTCTCGAACGGGATTTCAATGCCTGAACGAGGAGAGTTCATCGCGCATGCTCGCAAAATTTGGATCTTGAGAATAAACTTTCCCGATTCGACACTTACCGTCCGTTCTCGTGATGGAGCTTTTCAGGTCGAGGGAATTGATCGTCCCTGACATCAGGAATTCCACTGTCGAAATGGACGAGTCCACTGAGAAAGTCCGTTTGATCTCATCTTTATTTTTGAATTTGATCAGAGTTGCCTGTAAAGATCGCGTAAGGAATATTTACGAACTCGAAAGGTTTTCTCGAAAGATTTCAGACTGGTTCCCAAAGTCCCCAGAGAAGACTCACTTGCTCGGAGAGAAGAGCTGCGAGGAACGGCGACCCCAGATTGTTCAAGACGCCTTCGCACACTGCCACGCCCCCGGTGTAGAGCGACAGAGTCTCCAAGCCCATTTCATCGCAAGCCGTACTGACGAGGACGAAGTGCACCTGCATTGCCCAAGGTCCGTTTATTCCTCGGGCGAAAGTTCAACGAAAGCGAATTCGGAATACCTTTGATCTCTTCGCGACCGCGAGCGCGTAGGCATCCTTAACCAAAGCCGGATCGCTCGGGTAGCCCTTCTTCGTGATGACGAAGACGGGCGATCCGACCGGGACGAGCCGCAGCGTCTCGATCGCGGCAGTCGCCAGATTCAGGCGATTATCGCATTTCTCGGTGGCGGCTTCCAAGGCGACCAGGAATTCCTCCCTTGATGTCGTCGTCTTCGTGTGTATAGCGCAAGCTGGAAATGCGTGTACGGCGCCATGACTCTCATCATAGAATCTGCCAGCAATTTTGTTTACCCTTTTGAGCAAACAAACAAAGTAAATAGCTTGCTTCTCAACTAATTATCTGAAACATTCGGGTCCTCCTTCAGCTCTCCCACCCTCCCTCTTCTTTTGCGGGGATGGATTTTGGAGAAACAGCGCCGAAAATTTGCTGTCTCAGGTGAAATACCACAAAGCAGGAATTTCCCTGAAATGAGTTCCCTAACAGCTACTTGTCTACTTCGCTTCGGCTTTCCATCGTGCCTAGAACGTTTCGGTCGCTTCAGTAATAATGAATCGACGAAAAGCCCGGAATTGGGATCTACAGTTCTTTCCTCAGAGAAAACCACAAGAAGTCAAAGAGAGGCTGCAATATTTTCAGCTGCAAAAATGCTGGTGATCTCAAATATTTTTACACGGTCCTATCTGAACTTGCAGTCCTAAAAAAAAAGGGCGGGAAAAGGCTAGAGACTGACCTTTGTCGAAGTAAGTGAGGACGTAATATCGGGGCTCCTGGACCGTCCCTGTCACGTCGTCCAAGTGAGTCCTGATCATATCCACCAGCGATTTCATATCCACGTCTAGCCTCACGACGACAGCCAGCGTCGGGGACCGATGGAGGTCGAAGAGCGAAGCGAAGCTCTCCTCGCCGATCCCGGTCCGGAGTCCCTTCAGGTACTTCCTCGTCGCCTAGAGCGAGAAGCGAGACTTCCTCAGACTGGGGGGGAGGGAGGAGGGAGGGAGGGGCATTCCGTGGTTCGACCTGGGCGGCGTCATCGGCTGCTGCTTTATGAAGGCTCGAATGGGGGGAATAGCATGGGGTCGGTGTGTCTTTGTTCATTCCTCCAGTCGGGCTTACGCTTCCGAAACCGTCCATGATTCCTCCAAAGCTGCATTTTCCTGTAGGTTCACACGAATGATTTTTTATGTTCAAGGGCTTGAATTTGGCTTAGACCGATTGTGTGAAAAGGCGCAGATCAGATCAGCAGGGAAAGCAGACAGACGACAGAGCAAAAGTCTGAATCAATTGGGAAATCGTCGCCTCCGCAAGACAATGCTTTCCTAAAAATCCTCCACTCACCAGAAGGTTTTCCGCCTGGGGGTTCCGTCACCGAGCCCTTCAAATACCCACTGGTGAGATTAACAAGACCATCGACGAAGTTATCGATGCACTCTCCCTCTCCAGAACAGTCCTTACAGGTCGCCTGACCATTGGGCGCGATCCCCACGCCCTCCCAATCGTTCTCTGGGAAACCGAGCTCCGCCAGGAGGACATTCCCCAACTCCACCCAATTGGTGTGACTGTAGAAGTCCTGCACGGAGTGGAGGACCGTGGCGAGGGGCTCGACCATGCCCCACGCCTCCCCCTTCGTCAGCGAACTCAAGAACATCTCCTGGTACCTACCGACATCCACCTCGATTGCAGTCACTGCCCCAGCGTCTAACAGAGCCATCAAAAGCGCCCCACCAACCTCCTAAGAAGCTGCTGTTGACCTTCCTCCAGGCGCTCCGAATGGAAGTGAAGAGAAGGGACTTCCGAGAGCGGGAAAGCGTCGCTCGCCCCGTTCCACGCCAGCAGCCCCATCACGGCCCTCATCAGCTTGCTCGGAGACGACACCGCGGTCGTGTTGGCCATCCGGTTGTACGCCGTCCAGACGTCGACGAAGTTGTAATCACGATCTGGCAGATCCAGAGACTGAAAAGCCCACCAACAGGTAATGAGTGTTTCCAACTCCTCAAACGTCGACGAGCCCGGAAAGACTGAGGAATTCAATTCGGGTCGAAAAGTCTGGAATCAAGCAGTCATTCCTGATTCACTTTCCAGAACGAGATCCCGAGATACATCATTAAATTCTCAACAATTAACAACGGTACAACCAGACTTTTATCGCATACTGTAGAGATCTGCTTTCTCCCTCTTCGACCGGAGATTACCTTTCCCCGCTGCCGTATTCATAACCACCAAAACTATCTCACTAGAAAATGCGCAACTTTGAATCCGCTGAAATTCTGCAAAACGCAAATCCTCACCTGTCCGACGTAGAGAGGATGCTCCCTACAATACTCCAGTATGGCACCGGCCACTCCCTGAAGAGTGATGTCCCAATGCGTCCGAAGGCTTTCGTTCTCGCTCACTGACTTGAGGCATGGCTTGATTTCGGGCTTGTTGGGATCCAGAATCGGCCCCCACTGATCCAGGAACTTCGCGGGAAGGAAGCCTCTCCCCGGCGCGACCACGGCCAAGACGCAGACGAGCCTCGCGATCCTCTCCATCCCGATTCGCGCAGCGCTTTGGTGTTTCCCCCCGTCGACCTGCCTTTTACCCCCCCGGGGGTCAATCGCGCCGACGTGTTTGCCCTGCACTCGAGGCACTCATCATCTCTCCGGAAACGAGCAAACACGGCCCGGTTTCCTTTAATGCCATCCCTATCTCCCATGACGCATAAAGGTGTGAATAACGCTATCCACCTGCCGGCGTGGAAGTACTCAACTGGCCGGAAGCTCTCACCGAGACGGACCCTCACCGAGACGGACCCTCTCGTTGATGCCATGGGAGGGTCTTGTGCATCCATTTGCGTCTAATACTTCACCCTTTATTCAGTTTTCGTCTTTCCTTTATGCAGACCCATGGGAAATCACAGGATGTGGAATGAGGCCCGCCTTTTCCCCTTCATCCCGTCCTCAGTTCTCCATGCAAAATGCAGGAACATTCGCATACCGTCTCCGTAAGTGCACCCGGCTCTAACGTTACGATCTGCCCATGCCAACGAGGACCTCCGAGATTCGGGGCCGGGTGCTTTCCGTTCCGACGCGGGACACATATTGATGGACCCGGATTCTCGGACTCGAGACGCGAGATTCTCTCGTCCTCTGGGGATTCTCGGAAATTAATTTGCTTCTCGCTGCTCTGGTCTAAAATCAGATGCAAGCCACGATGTTCTTTCAGAAAGCGAAAAAAGATTGAATCATAGATTGAATCTATTGATCGTCAACGTTGAATGTGTGGTTGCGGGGGGGAGGACTGGCAGAATGTGTGGTTGCGGGGGGAGGACTGTGGCGGAATGTGTGGTTGCGGGGGGAGGACTGTGGCGGAACGTGCTGAGTGGGCTGCAGCTCTTCGGCAAATCCGAGCATGACATGAAACGGGAAGCAGAACCGTGAATTCGCTTTACCTCAGCGGGTGATATTCCCATATTTCTTCGCCGGGAAAGGTTTATGAGAAAGCGGATTCAGCTTCTCTGTGGGGAGTGCGGCATTGGCTCGGTTGGCGTTTATGCCCGAGAGGATTCCATTTAATGAGTACTTCATTTTAGGATATAAGTTTTTTTTTTTTAAGGCCGAACAACTACTAGAGGAATTCGACCGCCGATGAAGCGGCTTAAGGCTTAAGCGGCTTGATGCGAGAGGGGGCGAAACGAGGGTTGTTCGAGCGGAAAATCGTGTTTCCGGGAAAAATTACTGAGAAAGGCACGACCGGCAGCCGCAGAAATTTAAAGGGCAGTATTTAAAGGGCGGCGAAGTCGAGAGATTGCGTGGGGAGAAGAGAGCCAGAGTGCGAGGTAATCCCGCTGGAATCAATGCATCTCCAAGGCGACGTCCTTTGCCAAACTTGGCTTTTTTTTTTTCCGTCGCCGAATTGATTCCCCGGGGAATCGCTATGAGGAATTCGAGATTGCCAAATTCTGCCGTTATGGTCAACGTAATTGACGGGCGCGTTAGGGTCTCGGGAGACAAATGGCCCTCATCAACTTTGTTTTTCCCTCTTGCCCCCTTCTGCCCCCTGTTGCCCCCTGTTGCCCCCCTGTTGCCCCCCTGCCCGCTTCCCGTGGTTTCGAGTCGATGGTGTGGACTGGTGTGGACTGGAAAATGCAATTTAGTCGTTCGTTTAGCACGAATGAGCAAGATAAAATGAATGAATTACACGCTTCAGAGCATGGAGCGAAATGAGAGACGCCATCTGAATGTCAAAACTCCCTTTTCCAGCAAAAAAAAATTGTCACTCTCATATGGCGGGGCAATTTTTTAGTCCCAGCCGACAAGCAATAAGGCCAACAAGCAATAAGGCCGACAAGCAATAAGGCCGACATGATGTGTCGGTCCGAACGATCAAAGTCACCAAAGCGACTGGTTCGTTCCAGATTTCCCGATCAAATTCACTCGAATCGAAGAACCGACGCCCTGCCGACGGAGTCGAAGGGAGCCCCAACGGTTTCACCTGCCGCTCTCCCAAATGGCTACACCCCATGCAATTCGGTTTTACGCAGTCCCGGCCCCGTGCACTGCGTAATTTATAACCTGTATAATTCATGCCACAATGGATGAGTCCGCTGTGGCGTGACGCAATACATTTGCGCCTTCGAGCTTCTCGTTCCTCGCGGGAACCTCCACTGCGGAGCATGCACCTACCTCCATCTTTCTCACCTCGTTCTCCTATTTCTCCTCATGTTGGCCCTATTTCTCCACATGTTGGCCCTATTTCTCCTCATGTTGGCCCTATATCTACTAAAATTAGCCCAATGCGCCGCGCTCATCGTGGAGTCTATTGAAATGGGGTTCCCTCTCTCCCAGTAGCACAACATATTTAATCAACAAGGAATAAGCACTGTATCAGCATCCGGACGTTGAATCAGCATTTAATCTTCGTTGATTTAATGTTTTGCGCTACTGGGGTCTCACGCAGCGGTTCTCAATCTGTGTGCCTCGAGAAGCTGCCAAGGGTGCCGTGGGTGTTGGGAGAATTTCATTCTGGGGTCTTTCAACAAAGTCGCTCAAGAGGGCCGAAGTACCAGGAAAGTAGAACGTAGAAGTAGAGGTACTGATAAGAGACGTACATATTTGTGTCCTTCGTACGTACCTTCGTGCCGATTTGGTCCAGACGAACACATGAGTACGTTGCAGACGCAGATGTCCGGGTTCCCAATACAGTACTCAAAATAGGCCCAAGATGGCGGTTATGCACCCCCGAACATTCGAGCTTAGGTCAGGACGCACCGGACCTTAGGAGAATAATTTTCTTCCTTTCCCTGTGTTCATCTCATCATGATACTTGAAAAATAGTATTTGATGATATAATTATCTTATTTCAATCGCAATCATTGCGTCTGGAAAATTTTTAATGCAGGGGGATTGCACGAAATAGCGAAGTGTAAACTGATGGGTTATTAGTTTTTAATCCCGTCGGCCAACTTTAATTAAACTTGTTTGATTGTCCTCGAAATTGATGTGGTGTAAGCCAGCTGATGCATCCTTGATGGCTGATGAAGGCGGTGCTTGGGAGGCCGGTTGCGTCGTGGAGGCCGTGCCGAGCCGTCACCTCCGCGACGGTGACGGTGGTGACAGCGGTGCCGAACGTATTTTACGACGTACGCTTGTACCTCATAACGAATAAAATACGTACCACGCGGTACGTTTCTGCTTGCGGCCGCGAAACTTCTTCTTCGCTCTTT